AAAAATTCTAAAAAATCAACGGTAACTTTTAGCCACTTGAAACTTGCACATTATTAGACTAAAATTGATTGGGCTGTAAAACTGTGTATTCAGAAAAATTCTAACACTTCCGAGAAAAAAGGTTGAAATTTAGGTGAAAATTTGTTGCACTTTTTTGTAGTTTTCTACAAATTGCTATACTTGGGTTTATATGGGGGTTGTTAGAGAAAGAACTGTATTTTAATTGAAAATTCTTAAAAATTAATAAAAAAAAACATAAGTGGCACATAATATCACTTTGAAATGGCGTGCTATAGTTATCACCGATACTGTAGTTACTACAAAAATTTGTTATTGGGTATTATTACTGGAAATCTTCTAAATAGAAACAGAGTTTTTCGATCGAAAACGATTGATTTTCAATAATTCTATACCATTTCTACGAAAAGTTGATTTTTCCCCATATAAAATACATGGAAAACTTTGAGCGCTTTGAACGACCTCTAAATAGTATTTGGTTTCAAAATAAAGGAATAGGGGTATATTTTTTCGGTATAAAATAATCCTAGGGGGTGAGAGCATAAAAATTCCGACTTTACTATTTCACATGCATTTTTGGACCACGCTAATGTACATACATACATATCCCACGTTTGCTTAAAGACCCGCATAAACAAAAATAAAAAATAAATAATTAACATTTTTTCATTAAGTCCGCAAGCGCCTGCTACCTAAAAAAATTCGTAGAATATTGTGCTTTCGTTTTTGCTTTTCGCGATCTTGAAAATACGTAACGTTCCAGATTGTTACACTAGTTCCTTCAATCAACCAGGTTTTTCAAAAAAAAAAAAAAATACCAACTCAAATTCAAAATTAACTCTTCAGTGGAAGGCTCACTCTCATTATAACACTACCGTTAAGCCAGCAGTTACTTATATATCCTTAGTATGGTGGACTATATCACCTGCCCTCCTAATGGACTCAGCGCATTCGTTGGAATACCTCCCTTTCCGACTTTAAAAGCGGAAACATTAAGATAATAACGAAGTTTGCTAAGGACCCCATAATGCATATGCGCGACGCAACTCCTAGTGGATCAAAACTGGAAAATGGAAAATGTGGGGCTGGTATAGTGGGTCCGAATTTCAAGGAAGTGATACTAATGAGCAACTACTCTACCATTTATAAAACAGAAATAAGCACTGATGTCCTTGTAACCATAAATACAGTACAACTGGACTGAATACCGGGGCATGAGTAACATGATGACAACGAACAGGCGAAGCAACCACATGGTTCGGAATACATTTTTGGGCTAGCCAAAGCACACACAAGCTAGGTTATAAACAGTTTAGTAGATA